CACAGCTGTGAGCAGTGTGAGGTTGTTCTGGACATGGGCAGATAGTGGGCTGCAAGTGGCCATTTGCTGCCCCCCAACCATCCTTTGAACCCCTCATGCTGTCCTGGGCCTGTCAGTCCCATCCCCAGCCTGACACAGACCCCCCACTTTGTGGTCCAGGTGGATTGGAGTGGGGCTGAAGTGTGTGCTGGCTCCTTGACATGTGTGGGGCAAAGCCCCTGTGCTGGCAGGCAGGGTGCAGGCAGCCCAAGCACCCCCGTGCCCAGCACTCCCACGGCAGCAGCAGACAATTAATTAGCAGGGCGGTGGGAGAGCAGCCGGCGGAGCTGTGCGGGATCGATGGGCACATCGACCGCCCGGGAAACTCCAGCCCTGCCAGCCAGAGCTGTGGAGCTGGGGCACACAAGGAGCCTGGCAGCCCCCGGCCCCACCAAAGGGGGTGGCTGTGGGAGCAGCATCACCAGCCCCTTGCGAGGGCACAGCAGCGTGCACAGGGCCAGGAGGGAAAGGACAGGCGCTGGAGCGTGCCCGGTGACCCTGCAGCCTCAGGGCTGACACCTGCTCCCCTGAGAACAGGGAGAGTGGCTGGTCCTTGTGTCATGCTGTGAGAACGTGGGGGTGCCGATGTTTGGATGCAGCTGTGTTGAGGGAGGTGCAGGGTGGTCCCTTGGAGCTGGTGGCATCCACTGTGGGAGCTGAGGAAGGGGGCTGAGGCCAGGGGCAGTGGTAGAGTCTCGGGGACAGCATGGACACGGTGACTGAGGGACGGAAAGGCTCTGTGGGTACGTGCCAGCCATCTGGGGGTCCCCAAGCCGTGATTCAGGACCAGCAGGGCACACCCCAGAGGTGTGGTAGCACTGCCTGCACAGCCCCGTGCTGCAGACATGCCTGCGGGTCTGTGACCACACAGCTCCTGTGCCCATCCCCATCCCTGTCCCTGTCCCCATCCCACCCGCCCACTTCCCCCGCCTGCCTCTGCCAAGCGAGAAGTGCCAGCCCGTCCCTGCGGGGAAGGAAAGTGCTCAGCCGTGTTGCAGAGCCTGGTATCCACCCAGATGAGAAGTGACAGCAAAGGACCCTTCTCAGGTACAGGCTCCCTGAGGCGCAGGGCAGGAGATACTGTCCCCGTCTTTGCCTCTTCTGCTGCCGGCACTGGAGAGACCCTGCAGGCACTTAACCGCTTCCCCACCGTGCAAACCAGCTGTAGTTGGAGGGCAGCAGCCCAGCACCAGCAGTGCCATGCTTATCTGTCCCAAGCTGCAAGAAACAGGATGCAGCAGGCAGGGTTCGAGTGTGGGAGTAAGAACCAGAGGTGCAGCCCCTCTGCTGTGCCCCACTGTGTCCTGCCAGGCGCAGGAGCCCATGCCCGGCGGGTCCACAGGCCCCTCGCCTCCCTCATCTCCTACACTGACTGCTGTCTCTGCCGGGAGGTTGTCATGGGAACGGTGCGCTGTAGGTACCCCTCACCCTGGGTACCCCTCCTTGCATGCCATGGTGACTCTGAATGGAGGTCGGCACAGTCTGTGCCCTTTCCAGGGCCTGGCAGGGAGGGCACAGAGAGCTCCAGTCCAGGAATGCATGGGGATGCTGGTGGTAGGCAGGGACAGAGGTCCTCTGTGTACCCACACCTCTCTTGCCAGGTCCAGAGTCCCCCCGTGGCCCCTGGCTGGGTGACAGGCAGGGCACACGGGCTTGGGCACGCGGGAACAGCGTGGCACAGCCTCAGCTCCGGCAGCCGCGCTGCCTGCCCACTCCCACGGTGAGCCAGCGCTGCCTGTTCTTCCCTGGCCCACGCACCTTGCACGGAGCCAGCAGCTCCTTCCCCAGTTATCTGGGGGATTTTAACCCTGCAGCACTCACCGGTTGCAGGAATGGTTGGGTGCCTGCACCAGACGCATGCCAGGGGCCAGAGGCAGGATCTGTCCTTGCTGCCAGAGCTGGTGGCTCAGGGACAAGCTGGACTGGCAGTGCCTGGCCATGGCTGCATGCCAGCTGCTGGCAAGGTGACCCAGCATGGGCACCCAGCACCACTGACCCACACCCCCTGCAGGGAAAAGGGGACACGGGACACCATCCCTGCAGCAGCGCAGTTGGTCCCCATCCCTGCTGGGCCCCACAGCAACCCCAGCCCCATATCCCCCACCTCTCTTGTGCCACGTGGGTCCCTTGTACCTCCCATCCCCACTAGACCCCACAGCTCTCCTGGCCCCTCCAGCCCTGTCCTTGCAGGCCCCTCTGTCTGCCTTGCCTCCCACCCCCACCTCCAGCCCTGCCGCATGTCTGCTGCCATCTGCCTCTCCCTTTTGATTAGTATTAATTTTTAATTATTATTATTGACAGGGCTGCCAGCTCGGCTGCCAGCTGGGACAGCTGCCCAGCATGAGACAGGCCGGGGGCAGCCCTGGCGCTGCTGTACTCTCTGTGTGGCTCCTGGCAACTGCTGTGCCCACCGAGGGGGTGACTTTGTGCCCCCCCCAGCACCCCCCAGCCCCCAGACAGGGACTGTGGGGTGCAAAAGTTGAGGATGAAGGTCATTGTGTTGCCAAAGGGCAGACTCTGGGTGGGCACTGCCAGCCCCCCAGCCTGGCTGGGCTGCAGGGCTGATGGGAACCCATAAAGCCATGGAGATAAATGGCTCCTATTATTTTTCCAATCAAATGAAATCCCACTGTGGCTACATGAGAATGGTGATGAACCACGGCAGTGCAGCAGCCTCTGCACCCCCTCCTGCCCCAGTTAACCTTGCCCTTGTGACGTGATGGGGCCAGGGCCCCCCATGAGCACAACGCCCTTGCTGGGGCAAGGGGACAAGGACAGCCTGGCAGCAGGGGGGCTCAGCCCTAGAGCCAGGTGGGGGGCGATGGCACAGACGTGTGACAGAGAGTAGGTTGAGGGGACAGAGGGACAGACAATCCCTGCCTCTCACACACTTGACGCTATCACTGCCGGGGAGGGGCATTAATGGTGCGTTTTAGGGGGGTCTCAGCAACCCCTCCTCCAGCTTCAGCTTTGCCAGCCCCACGTGTGGCTCTGCCTGTCTCTCATTCTGGGGGTCGGAGTGGGGGGCGGCTGGGGTAGCGCTGTGACCCCACTTCAGGCAGGGACCCAAACGTGGGCAGGGCAGACAGGGACCCCACCGCAGGCAGGGCAGGCGGCCATCCCTGGCGCGCCGGAGCTGGCCAAGGCCGGGCGAGCGGCACCATCGCGTGGCGAGGGAGCGGCGGTACAGGCAGAGCAGGCAGCACCCGGGCGATGCCCGTGCGGGACCAGTGGGCAAGGCAGGCAGAACCAGCCCCTGATCCCCCGCTTGCAGCACCCTCAGTTTGGGGTGCTGCCCCCCGTTCTGCATCCCCTCATCCCAGTCCTGCCACCTGAAGCACCCCCAGTTCGGGGAGCTGCCTCCCCAATACTGCATCCCTTCATCCCTGCCCCGCTGCCTCTCCAGCCCCATTGCCCTGCTGGGGAGGACAGTGCGGTGCTGCTGCCCTTGCACCCGCGCAGAGAAATGACCCAAAGCCACCACACGATGCAAGGACACAGGGACATGGCCTGACACATCGCCTGCCAGGGATGAGCTCCTGTCTTCAGTCTCTACTATCATCTTCTGCCTGGAATAGGAGCAATATTGGGTGGTGGAGAGCCCCACACTGCCCTCGGGGAGCTGCAAGGCCGATGTCCCTGGAGAAAGGCAGCTGAGCCCCAGGGACACAGCTCTCTGCAGCCATGGCAGCATCCCAGGTGGTGCAGGGCTCAGCAAGCTCAACCTCACAGGCTGCACTGCAGGCAGTTGAGACCCTGGGTGACACAGCCACAGCAGCTGTCTGTCAAGCTGTGACCAGACAGGTCACAACCAGCTCTAAGAGCAGAGAGTGGTCAATACTTCATCCTTCTGCAGGACCAGGTCTCTGCAGAGCCTGTCTGCAGGCAGGGCAGCACTGAGCCATCACAGCAGGGGAAAAACAACCCTGGCTCTGGGCTGATGAGGTGGCACAGATGGGCTGGACGTGTGGCCCTGGACAAGGTGCAGTCCTGGGCTGAGAAGGAGCCTGGGTGCTGCTGGAGAGAATGGAGGATACTCCTGGATGAGAGCTGCAGTGAGGGCAGAACTGCAGCTGGCACTGTCAGGAGGTGAGCAGACAGCTCCACCTCTAGAATCTGACTAGGCAGGGAAGCAGATACAACAGTGAAACACACAAATAAAAGATTACAGGACAGAGTTTGGGGTGGGTCTGGAAAAAGTGTGTGGGGGGCCAGGACTACCAGAAGGGACAGCAGAGGACATGAGCCATGGAAAGGAGGAGCCAGCAAAGTCCCAGGGCTCAAAAGACTGAGGCTGTGAACCTGCAGGTCTGGCACCAACAAAACCTTGGGAAGAAAATGAGCTTCATAGCACCTATGCTGCAAGTGTATGTGGGAGGGGATGCAGCATGGGGACCATGCTGTGCTGCAGCCCAACACCCTCCCTGCAGGGACACTGCCAGCCCTCAGCTGCGAAACTGATCTTCCTGACAAGGCAGACCCGTGTCCCATAGATGTACAGGGACTTGGGACAAAAGTGGACCAGCTCCCCAGGCTGAGCTGGCCCAGATGAGCTGGACCTCAGTAGTCCCTCCTGTGCCCAGGTTTGAAGGGCAGGGAGCTGTGCCCATGCCTTGGCCAGGGGAGGACAGAATAGCATTCTTCCAGGAGCTATCCAGGGCTCCCCAAAACACAGGAAACACCCCCACAGCCTCAGGGAGAGGAGCACTGATCTCGGGCTCTAGGGGATGTGAGGGGACATGTAGTGTCCCAAACCCATAGCAATGTGCTCCTGGCCCCTCTCACCCAGAATGGAGGGGCCAGGATATCATCATCATCTTCCTCCCAGGAAACCTCCCCAACAAACAGGAGCCACCCCAGGTTGCTAAGAGCCCTGGAGACACAGATCATGCTCAGATGCAGAAATTCATTGTGAGACAGTACATGGGGACTTCATAGGCAGCTCCTCACTCTCCCCACAGTCACACCACAAACTTGGTCTTGGCAAGGGAGCTGCTCTTGGTGGCCGTATCCGCATGAGCCTGGTAGCCAATGGCCACCTTCTGTGACAGACCCAGGTGCTCCTTGTAGACACGCCTGGAGGAGAGAAGGGGATGCATAAACAGGGCAGCACCGCTCCTCCTATTCCCCCAAACAGGGGGAGCCCTTATTCCCCTGTGCAGTCCCCCCTGAAGCTGCATTACCCAATGTGGGTGACCCCTTCCTGGTTCTCCGCTTCCCGGGTCCAGATGGCAATCTTGTCCCCCTTGGTGCGGATGTTGATGACGGCCCCGCACACCTCGTCGCTGTACTCATCAAACATCTCCCCAATGAGGCACAGCAGCTGTTGGGAGGAGAAGGGAAGCCTGGAACAGTCCCCACCGGGGCACAACCCTGGGGCAGGGGAAACACCACAGCCAGGACGCTTGAGCAGGGCTGTACTCACTGTGTCCAGCCAGAACCGGTCCAGCTCGGTGTGCCGCTGCTGCTTGGCCAGGGTGATGAGCCAGCGCCCACCACGCTTGTTCTGGCTGTCCTCCCACATGGGCTCAATGCCATCCTAGGGTGGGCAAGGGGGACAGTCAGGGGCTCCAAGTATCTGCCAAGAGCTGGCCTGTGGAGCTGTGAACATCCAGCCAGACTTCCCCTCCCACCTTATGGCCAGGACATCCTGACAGCCTTACCAGCACCCAGTGTGCTCCCATAATGCTGGGAGGAGTCTGAGGCTGGGGTTTCGTACCTTGAAGAGGGAGTAGTCACAGCCAGCTGTGAGCTTGCTGGCGAGCTGGATGTGACTGTACAGCCTGTGTTAGATGGAGACATAGAAGCAGGTGAGAATAGGTGCCTCAGGCTCAGACCCCCCCAGCAGAACACCTCCAGAAGGGGCACAGTGTGCCCAATGGACACTCACGCCCAGAAGTCCTCCACAGTGTTGAATTTGGTGACAAGGCGCAGGTTTGCTTGCCACATCTTGCTTTTGTCATTCTTGAAAAACCACAGCGCCCATCTGGGGAGTGAGAGGAAATGGGTGTTCAACCATGCCGGAGTCCCTCTCCAGCCCCAGCAAACCCCTCCCAGTGTGGGGAGAGGCTGTCCATGGCCAGGCCTCCCATACCTGTTCTGCAGCGGGTGCTTGCCCAGGATCTCTGCCGGGAGCAGCTCCTGCTGCCGAGCCCTCTGCCGGCGTCGCTCCTGCTGCCTCTGCAGAGGAAGGTGGGACAGCCCCGAAGAGCTCCGTGAGCACCCCAGCAGAGAGCCTGCAGCCCCCCAGCTACCTCCCACACTGTGTGCCCCGAGGGGTGGAAAGCCTGTCTGTGTTCTACATCCCCCCCCAGCCCACAGGGCGAGCACCCACCTGCTCCCCTGTAGCCATCCTGACCAGCACAAGCTCCCCTGAGCTGTCTCCGGCTCTTAAGTACCCACAGGCAGGTGGGATGAGGAGCTACCCCAGCTACAGCTGGTGGGGTGGGAGAGTGGTATTCTGGGGAGAGGGGGTCAGTCCTACCCCCCCTGGGGGGCAGAGATGGGGGATGAGGACAGAGGCTCAGAGTGGGTAGCAATCAGGATGAGGGAGTAGAATTGTGTAAGTTGGGGACCACGATGTGTATGTATGCCATGATGTATGGCAGGGCAGGATGGTATACAGAGAGGGTGGGATAGGATGGGATGGGATGGGGAGGGGATGGGTCCAGAGCTGGATGTGGTGGGATGGGAATCGGGTGGGATGAGGTGGGAAGAGGACATGACGAGACGGGGATGGGAATGGCATAGGAACAGGGTGGAATGTGGAAGGAGCTGGATGGCAATAAAGATGGAGTGGGGTAAGGGCAGCCTGTAGATGGAAAGCATCGGAATGAGGTGGAACAAGGAACGGGAGACGTGACCGGGAGAGAGTAGGATAGGATGCGAGGAGGGTCAGGATAGAATAGCATGGGGACAGCGTTGGGTGGGATCACGATGAGTGACGGGGATGGGAAGAACGACTGTCCCGAGGTGCCGCGCAGTGCGGGGAAGGAGCCTGCGGGGCTGGGGCGGTGAAGCCCGGAGGCGCCGCTGCCGTGCGGGGCGGTGCGGGGGCGGGCGGGGGCGGCGGGGCACGGCTCGGCACGGCCGAGCACGGCTCAGCCCGGCTCAGCCCGGCGCAGCCCGGCGCGGCGCGGTCCCCCCCGCGCATCACGGCGCAGCGCGGCGCAGCGCGGCCCCGGCACAGCCGCACTGAGTCCGCCCCGCCGCAGCCCGGCCCGGCCCGGCCCGGCCCGCCCGTCCCCGCCGACAGCGAGCCAGGTCGGGCGGGCGGCGGGAGCGGGGGCGCGGGACCGGGATGCGCGGGACCGGGATGCTCGGGGATGGGATGCGCGGGACCGGGATGCGCGGGGCGGGCGGGCGCGGGGCCGGGGCGGGGTGAAGCCGTGCGGCCTCTCCCCGCAGAGCCGCCATGGAGGTGTTTATGAAGGGCTTGTCCAAGGCCAAGGAGGGGGTGGTCGCCGCAGCTGAGAAGACCAAGCAGGGGGTGGCCGAGGCCGCCGAGAAGACCAAGGAAGGGGTCCTCTATGTCGGTAAGGATCGGCTTGTCCTGCCTGCCCCCTGCCAGCCCCCTGCCAGCCCCTGCCTGCCCCCTGCCTCCCCATCCCCGGCTAATCTCTGCTCGTCCCTGCCTGCCCCTGCCGGTCCTCTCTGCCTGCCCTTGCCTGCTCCTGCGTTTGCCCTTGCTTCCTCCTGCCCATCCCCCTGCCGTCCCCCTTGCGTTCCCACCTGTCCCCGGTCCCGCTGCCCCTCTCCTCCGCTCCTTCCCCGCCACGACCACCCTGCGGCAGAGTGCTCCGGGGCAGAGGGTCGGTGCCCGCAGTGCCTCGCTGCCCTCCGGGAAACTGCAGGGCAGGAGAGTGGGCTCTGCAGGCAGAGCAGAGTTGGGGACTGGTCCCCAGGCTGAGAGGATGAAACCCTCGGGGACTGGACCCCTTGCAGCTCCCAGTCTGAGCCTGAGGGTCTCTCAGCTCTGTGCCCGGGATGCTGTGGGGCAGGAAAGCAGAGGGACCATGATGGAGGTGGTGACCCCTGTGTTGGGATGTGCCTGTCTTGGGGCAGGGGGGGTGTGGACAGTGTTTGTCCCCCTTGGAGAGGCAATGCCCTGGAGCTCATCCCACACCGGCATCTCCCCTGCACCCAGCTGGTGACTGAGGGGTCCCTCCGTGCTGCCCCTCGAGGGAGGGATCTGTTCCAGGCCAAGTCCTAGAAGACATGGCTGGCAGGAGGAGCAATTCCTGGGCAGTGTGTGTGCCTGGCTGTGGTGCTGGAATGTCCAGGGCAGGAGCTGAGGCCAACCTGCTTGCAGTGGGAGGGAGGAGGGCACAGGGCTGAGGCTCTGTTTTGCTCCAGAGGGCACAAGCTCTGTGGGAGAGCTGAGGCCCCAGAACTGTTCTCCTGGGCAGCGGTGGATGCCTGCCCTGGGCCCCCGTCCTTGCTGGGGTGTATGTGCTGGACTGGAGTCCAGCAGCTCAAGGAACACCCCGAGGCCCCATCCCACAGGAGCTGCCCAGCCCCTACCTTTCCTTCCATCCTAGACACACCACTCTGTGGGGGTGTCCTGGGTGGTGTCACTCTGCTCGAGGGAGCCTGGCAGGGTCAGCACAGCCAGCAGCAGCACCCAGCTCCAGGCACTCCAGCTGTGAGGCTTCTCATGCTGTGTTGGCACCAGCTCTAGGTTTGGATCCTGTGGAAGGTTTTTTTCAGCAGCACGGTTCGCATTCACCCTGCCTGGCTGTGCCCTGACACGGTGCTGGGCTCTGGGGTCTCTGCCCAGCCTGGCATGTGGCGCTGGCCCTGTGCTGCCCCACTTCTGGCTCCTGCAGGGACAACAGGAGCCTTGAGGGGAGCCAGGCAAGTGCTCAGCTGCCCAGGTGCCTGGCATGGGGTGTGGACAGGATGCTGTCCTGGCTCAGAGCCAGGGTGCCGGGCATGGCACGTGTTGGAGCCCAGCTGTCAGTCCCTCTAACCTGATCTCTGTCTCTTTCTATCCTCAGGGAGTAAAACTCAAGGTGTGGTGCAAGGCGTAACCTCAGGTATGGGCCCCTCTGTCTTCCTCGCCGCGGTACCCCTCCAGCCCTGAGAGCATGGCCACACTAACGAGATCAGAGGCTAATTGAGGGGCTGATGTCACTCTGCTAAAGCCTCTTATATAACAGGGCCGGCAACCAAGGATTTGCGGCGGCTGCTCACACTCCTTGCCCAGCTGCAGAGCAGTGTCATGGCCCGCTCCCCTCCCCGCCAGGGCAAGGAAGTGGGAAGAGCCTGATCCTGCCCAGCATCTCCCCATCATCTCCTCCCCTGGGTGGTGCAGGGCACGAAGCCACAGCTAGGCACCCCTTTTGGCAGGGGGGGCACTGATGGGCACCCCTGGCTCTTGCAGTGGCTGAGAAGGCGAAGGAGCAGGCGTCCCAGCTGGGCGAAGCGGCGTTCTCTGGCGCCGGCAACATTGCGGCGGCCACCGGGTTGGTGAAGAAGGAGGAGTTCCCTGCAGACCTGAAGGTGAGAGTCCCCATGCCCGTGAGGAGACTGGCACATCCCCAGGTTTGGCGAGGAGCCAGACTTCGGCTGTTCCCTGGTCCCGCAGCAGGGCCCAGGAGGGTGCCCGGGTGATCTCCCCACGCCAGGCCCCGAGCGTGAGGGGTGTCGGCGGACGTGTGCGCGCTCGAGGCCTGCCATGGCGGCCGGCGGCGTGGGCCTGTGGCGCATCGCTCCAGCGGCTGCGAGGTGACCTGACAGCTGCGGGAGGGGCAGCGGCTTCCAGCTCGCCGCCCCATGAGCCATTGGCTTCCAGCTTAGCCCAAAATAGCATCAGCTGAAGAAATGAGGCCACCGCCGCCACCGCCGATGCACAGGGGGATTGGCTGCCCCCCTTTCCCGCCTGCCAGCCCCGGGGAGGGGTTACCCAGCACCGCCCTCCCCTGCCAGGGATGCAGGATGCTCCCGCAGCTCCTGCCAGCTCCTGGAGCCTGTCGAGGCCCACGTGGTGCCAGCACTCATTGCCTGACCGAGGCTGGGGCTGGGAGCAGTGTAGGGACGTGCAAACACAGCCCCTGTTCCCACAGACCTGTGCATGTCACCTCCCAGCTAGGTGGGCTGCTGGGTGCCCAGGGTCCCACTGGCTCCCCATGGAGCCCCTTGTATCCTGGGTGTGTTGCTGGTCTGGCAGGGGCAGGGAGGGTGGGTGTCGTGTGTGTGTGTGTGTGTGTGTGTGTGTGTGTGTGGTGTTGACCTCCTGGTTCGCTCTCAGGCAGAAGAGGTGGCCCAGGAGGCCGTGGAGGAGCCACTGGTTGAGCCGCTGCTGGAGCCAGAGGGGGAGAACTACGAGGAACCCCCACAGGTGAGGGGACAGGGTGACACAGTGGTCACAGTGTGACAGTTCCATGTCCAGAGCAAAGCTGGTGTTGGGCTGAAGAAGAGAGGGGGGCTCTGTGCCTGACCTGAATTCTCTCACTGGCTCTTTCCTTCCCCATCCCACAGGAGGAATACCAGGAATACGAGCCAGAGGCATAATGGACCCCCATCCTTGCCTCTTCCACCAGCAGCACAACGAACCGCCGGTAGCCCCCTGCTCCTCTCCAGCCGGCCCTGGCCGGTGCCTGTGTGCCGGGGAGGAGCAGGGGCGCCCCTGCCCCGTTCGCTCACGAGTTCTTCCTCCAGTTCCGTTCCAAGGGACCGTGTCCGTGTCTCCGTAATGTGTCTAGCAGTGAGAAACACCCGCAGTGTCCAAGCCCCCGAGCCCCGGCGCGTGCCCGAGCCGTGGGTGCTGCCCGCAGGGGCTGGTGTGTGTGTGAGCGTGTGTGAAGCCCGGGTTTATGGCTCTGTCTCCCTCCCAGCACCATAAACCCCGGCTGTCCTGGCGTGTCTGTGTGTGTACAAAGCATGTTTACCTGCTCGCGGGCTGCTGTACATTTCGCTTGCACGCGTGTCCCTGTGGTTCTGCTCTGGTCATCGTGGAACTATTTTTTTTTATATATATCTCTCTCTATCTATGGGTGGACGGGTCTTTTGCCTTTGTGAACCCTTGGCGCCCCAGCCCGCTCCCCAGCCTGCTGGGTGGTGACGGTGCCTGCGCCCCCCCCGAGGTCCCATAGTGCCGACGCTGTGTTGTGACGTGGCATGGATATTCCCCCGTCGCTGGATGTGCAATACGAGGGCAGCTGCCAGTGACACAGCTGTCCCCGTGTCCGTGAATAAAGCCAACTCTTGTCTGTAGCCCCATGGTCCTGGTTGTGGGGTCCCTGGGGAGGGGTTGCCCCCGTGCTTTGGTGGCAGGGGTAGTTTTGCAAAGAGGAATGGAGCTGGTGCTGGGAGAGTGGGCAGGACTGGTTGGTCATGAGGACAAGATGCCTTTCTGTCTGCTGCATCACAGCAGGTCACTGTGCCCTGGGCCTCCAGCCAGACTCTGGCTGAGACTTGGGGTGCAGGCAGTGTCCCCACACCACCTGCCTGTCTGCAGAGCTTTGCATCTGCAGGGGGCCCTATGGGGCTGAGGACAACAAGTCAGGGTGAGGGTAGGCACAGCCATGGCCTCCAGCACTGGTTCTCCCCTTCCTAAGGGGCAGGGGACGTGGCTGTCACCCACAGCTTGTTCAGATGCAGTGTGACCACCTGAAGGGCAGGTGGGTGTCACACATACTGTCTTCCATGGCAGGGGGTCCTGTGCCCACCCCACAGCACCATCCTTGGGTCTTCAGCTCTCCCAGGGCAGGACCAGCAACCCAGCCTGGGTCCCCAGCTAGCCTTTAACCCCTTGAGTGCATCACAAGTTGGGATGAGAGGCTGGGCTGAGTGTCCCTGCCATGAATATCGGATTAGATCCCTCACCTGTGCTGGCTCACCAGCTCTGCCAGTGAGGAGTGAAGCTGCAGCAGTCAGCACGGACACACAACAGGTTTGCTGATGCCAGCAAATCCTGCCCTGGCTCTGGTTGCAGCAGTGCTCAGAGCACCCCCTGTGTGTTATTGGAAGGACTGAGATGGCTCTTTGGGGGCTGGCTGGCTGTTCCCCTCGAACTTTTTTTCCTTCCCTTGTCCAATTCTGTCATCCATGGAAAAGCAGACACAAACTGGGGCAGCATGTCTTGCCTCAGTGCCAGGGAGGCTGTAAAGGGGCAGAGGCAGTGTGGGGGAAGGCAGGCCCGTGCCTGGG